TAAGAATAGAAAATGGTAACTAGAGATGGTAATTTGAAATTTTTTCTTCTTTTAATTTTCACGATAACTTACCATTGACCACTCTCAAGGTAGCGAGAACAGATATGGAGTGTAGTAGATTCGATATGTTGGCTTTCTTCATCTTTCTATGTTATAAAAGCTCGATATCAAGTAGTCATTCCAACGGAGGGATTCTGAAATCATGTGTTGATCAAAAATATTATACAGTACATCGTTAATTGTGAGATCGCTTTAAATCTGAATATTCTGAAACAATTTCATTCACGATTCAATCGTTTTAGGCCTCTGTAAGAAAACTAATTAACGTCCTCAAATTACTATAAGAAATGGATATCGATCATGAATGAATGGAATCACAAAATATTTGTAACGTTGAAAATTGTCGTTGTCCATAGAATGATTTTTTTTTTATCGTCTAGTAAGTACAAAATGTTATCCATTTTTATAGTAGTTTTCAAATTAGGAATAGACATATTTATAGATGATTAATTGCAACATCAAACTCATTTAAAATTTCCAAAATTCTTTTTTTTTTTTCTTTTGCAGAAAACGTTTATGTATGACATGGATAACAGTAATCGAAAAGATACCGAGCAATAATGTAATGCTTTGAAAGTTGGAAGCACGGTTCGTTGGGTTTACGGGCGTGTGCTGGTTCTTTGCGTGTACGTGCACGCGCTGCGTCAGAGAAAAGGTTGACGGGGGTGCGAGCGTGTGGAGGTGTTCAGGGTGAGTGCAACTCAGGAATTCCATAAAACCTTCCACTGTCTCTACACACTTTGAATGTATCGAAACCGTCCATTGGGCTGAATCGCGTCTTCTTTATCACACTGCACGCTTCGAAGTTACTTTTTCATAAGGTCAAATCGTTTTATATTGATATCCCTCGCGAGGAATTCGTGGATATGCTTCTGCTTTCATATCACGCCAATGTGTAAAAATAGGAGATGTTTTTTGTACGTGATAAAAGACTTACAATGGCATGTGCCAGAAGGTTTGAATGCAAACTGTAAGAAAGATGGTATTTTAGATATGTAGGATGCTTAGGTCGCTGAGGAATTTGAATATTGTAGCGGCTCCTGAGTAAAAAAGATGTTTCTATATTTTTAGTAGTTTCTGCAATTTGTCTTTCAAGTATTTATTTGTAATAATAGAAATATTGTAATAATAGAAACATTTTTAAAAAATTAAGTCTAATTTTAAGGGATAATGCTTATTTATTATTAGTAATTAATTAATTTTTTTTATCATTAATTATTTATTAATAACTAATTAATTAATTAATAGTATATTATTCGATACGTTTTAAATAAATGTTTAAGTATATTTTTATTATAATTGAATTTATTTTACAAATGATACCGTTTTATCAAAGTTAAACTTCCATTTTCAAAACTTTCCAGTAAATTGGTGTTTTAAATATTAAAACAAATATTTATCAAACCTGCTAATTTGCAAATTATCAATTATCAATTCTGATAGACATACAAATTTTACACATTTACAGAAACTGTGTTTATCACGTTATGGTTTATCGCCTTCATAATTATAGTTCTCAGTTCAAAGAGGATGGATGCTCAGTGATTAATGTTACG